CTTTCCAGCCTGATATTAATATTCAATGTGCCTCTCACCAATCGGTGATCACTGCCGGTCTTCACCCTTGTGATCACAGAGACATCATTGAATATTTGTAAATGAGGGGTTTTTGCCATAGTTGCCACGCTTGGCGAGCGGGTTGGCAACCGCAGTTCTTCTAGACACCTCGCACCTTCAACGCTGCTGCCCGTTATTGGCCTGGATATTTTGCCCTCTTTTTTAGCTTATATATATATATATATATATATATATATAAGCTAAAAAAGAGTAATGATTTCCACTTACAAGTTGAACAATTTGTATTCACTTTGATAAGGAATAAAATATTAATAATAAAATATTAGGAGCTATAACTAAACTAGGCCTTTATTTTTATAGCAATGGTTTATTAACTAAAGGTCTTGATCGTCTATCTGACCGATTGCCTTTACATTTTCTATCGGATATATCACGGGAAGTGCTAAGTAATTATTCGGATTGACCCGTCAAACCGTCAGTTACACGTACCATCGACACCACTCTGATGGTCGGTGGTCCACTGTGCTTTTTTTAGGCAAGCCCCGCACAGGTACCTACTTTGGGGAACAGTTGTTGCCAGCGATATATCCTGAACGATTATACTTAGGGCCCTTAAGGATTACATCCTACTCCTACCTCAATGGCCCGTAACGCAATTGTGACCCTCCCGATGTTGCAGGTGCACGGCAGCTCGTTTGTCTTGTTATTACACAAAAAAATTCCAGCTAGACTTCAGTGGAACTAAAATTTAAACGGTACAAGGCCTCAATGTGTATGGACTTGGAAATGGCTTGGCTAGTGCTAAACAACTGTCATGTTTAACTAGTATAGAGCATGGGAATTGTTGGCTGCTACTGTAACATACCAACGTCTAATTTGTCAAGAATGTACCAATACTTTGCATGCAATGGGATTCTCTTACATATAGTAAAATGATATTTGAAGAAAACGATACCCCCATTTACTTTATATTTTTTGGAATTTATACTTATTTTCGCATATTTGAAGAAAAATATAAGAATAAAATTTTTACACAGACACCGAAATGATAAAATTAGCTGCAACCAATTTCATCAACTTCGCGGTATTACCATGGCGACCAGTAACGACTTTTGACATTTATGTGAGCATGTGGCAAGCTGTGTGGACCCGGACGGACATACCCATTCTTGCAACGGCGAAAACTGTTATGTGGTCCTACTATCTATAAGTTATTTGATTAAACCGTTATCAATTGCATTTAATGTCTTATTACCTGGATGACCGCTCTGCTCGGTTTGCTCACAAAAGAAGGAACTGAAGGAATGAATTAAAAAGTTATAGATAAATTTCGTTATTTTGTTGTGATGGGCGTCAATATCTATGCCGAACAATGAAATACAATTTTAATCTAGCAGGTGACGATAATTCTGAATGTAAGTCAGGTAGATAACAAAGTAACTAGTTTGCGTCGATCACATCCGCATTCTTATCAACTATATTACCTTATCAAATAAATTTAAGCTATCAAAAAAAAACAATTATGGAAATTCATTCTGTACATTTTATGTAGGTATGTTTTCCTCTGCTTTTCTTTATTTTATTCTGAAATTAATTGTTTTTAAATATTTTTGATTATATTATTTTTTTCATTCTAGTTTCTACCTGTAACAATGCTGTGTCACCTAATCAGATACAGATGCATCAGAATTTTTGTGTATATCTTACTATTTAAATGTTGAATGTATGTACTGCTGGTGTCCTGTTTAAATAAATTAATAAATAAACACATGTTCTCTACAAATAATAAATAGGGCACGGGCAAATAGAGCTAAAATACGTCAGAGACATACAGTGTACATAATTTATGTATTTTTGACTAGCGACTTTGGTGTTTTCGTAGAGCCATATATTGATGTTCGCATTTGTTTTTGTTTTGTTTTTCTTTTTGGTAGTAGTTTTTTTTTCTGTTCACTGCTTTATACTTATAGATGTTATTATTTACTAGTCGTTATTATCTTTGAAATAATGTACCAGATTTGTGTTATAATTAGTAGTTATTGTGTTATTATATTGCCCTTGAATTAATGTACCCGCTTTGTGTTAATCTTAGTCTAGTTTATTATTTATAATTAGAATTTTTGGTATGTACTGAAAATCGGTAAATCGTACCAAGTACAAACCTATTTGTCTTAGATATATATTAATTAAATTCTTAACATAACCGTGTTTGTTGAAACTAAATAAAATATTCATTCATTCATTCATTGAAATATATAATTTTTCTTTTCCTTTTCAGTACTGGAATATATCGCCTGATATAAAATTTTACGTGTTCGAAGAAATCCTTTCCTTTTAAATGCAAGTTTTGTCAAACAAAAATATGTATATATTTTGTAGTATGTTACATATCCGTTCCCATAGAAAAGTGCAACTAAGCAACGTCTTCTTCGCAATATCGCGACACAATCCCACGATCAAGTTTTGCTGAAACCATGTAAACGGATTACACATCCAGGCCGCGCTCATGTTCGTGGGAGCGTTGTCAGGCGACACCGCTATGTTCCACGACTTCCAATATAGCTGACGTCCATGGAAACGTCGCCAGTCGACACCGCTGCTTACCGTATTCAAGAACTTTGGTTAGCGATTTATTTTAGTAAGACAGTCATTCTTGATCTAGCATCGATCGGAATCAGACTTAGGTTAGGCTAGCTATAGTTTAGTTCTAAGTTTAAATTGTAAGTTCTAATAAATAAGTTAAAGCAAATTGGTTTTTTTGGTTATTATTTGGTAATTTTATCAGTCATTTATTTTTGTCTGTTGTCTTTTATTATGCATTTTATACAGTACATTCAGTTTACCATTGAGTAATTTTTACACTTAAGGTAATCCCTCAAACGACATCAAAATGGAGAGTTAATAAATTTTCTTAAAAATATTTAACCATCCAATAATCCATATGGGGAAGCTCTCTCAGCCAGCTATGAACCGGGCTATGATCTCTGCCTGATAGAGTTGCTAATGAAGACATTAGGCAGTAGAAAAAATGTAACAGATATGGATGGATTAGTACTAGATAGATTAGTAAGCTGATGTGGCAATGGGCCGGCCATATAGCTAGATGAACCGATAGTCATTGGGGAAGAAACGTTCTTGTGTGGCATAGTGTAGGACGCCCCTTCCCCCACATCATAATGAGTGTATGATCTGAGCACGTGGGCACGATGTCGATGGATGCAGGTGCTTGGGGAAGGCCTGTGTTTAACAGTGGGCTCAAACAAGCTAAAATACTGATGATGACTAAATTATTTGCTACAGTATTAATGTAAGACGAAATATCGCCAGTAGGTGAGGTAGAGCACTAATTAGCTGTGATGTGTCGATAACTTCCTACAGTCTTAAGACAATGTATTTTTTTGTATGTAAACTTCGGAAAAATTTAACTATGTATTTTTTTCATAAAGAGGGAAGTACTGTAGGGACACATGTGTAGTTTGGTGCGTAAGCAAATTGGGAAGCATCAATATAGACAATTTGACGCACGTACTCGTAAATAGCGGAGCATCAATGTAATTATAATTACTCAAAGGCGAGGATTACTTGAAGACACACTCGGACATCGAGGGCAACTAGGGGGACACTCGCAAGACAATGACGGAGACGTAATGAACTCACGCGGAGACGCAATATGCGAGTTACCGAGTGGATGTGTTTTAATATTCTTCTGATAACAGTCATAATAAAAGGGTCACTTACATACATTAAACTAAATTCTTCAAATTAATTTTTCAAAATAATGATTCACACACCAATTTAAAGCATATGAATGCCAAATATCATAAAGTTACGTTTTTATGAAGAAACTTTTAGAATATATAAATATTCTGCGAACCGCTTGAATATTTTTTTTTCATGCGGACAGCAGTGGATAGTAATAAAGAAATGAAGATGAAAATACTTTTAATACACTAAATGATACAATATGGTGTATATTTGTACTGAGATATGCCTAATCTCTTTATCAGTTTTTAATACCAGTTACTAGCTCTAACGGTTTTTAGTATAGCTGTTTCCTGACTCGGCACAAAGGGATTGGTAACTTTCCCACCAAAGCGCATTTGTGCAACGGCACCGAGTTAATCACATTAAGTGGCATTACGTAAAAAAATCCGAGTTAGTTGGGCTTAAGCAGCTAGATGTAGCTTAATGTACTTTGAGTACTCAAGTACCGTAAAACTTTCAGTTGAATTTGGGATGGTTAGTCTTAGATGATAGATCGATATTAGTCTATGTTAGCCTATGATATCGATAGGGTGTTTCGAAGAGTGAACAGGTATTTTATTTTTCTATTTTGCATATAATTTACTGGCATTGTTTCGCGTAACCCATTCTTAGGTACCCGCTATTATATTTATTAAGATTACTCAGCAGAATTATATACAGGATTTCTCTATTACATTATTAAACAGAGATTTTAACGCCCAGCGTGCAACGCTTTATACATCGCTACTGTAATCTTCATCGCACTTAAAAAGGGTTATTGTTTTTCTTTTTGTCTTAACATCAATGGCCGTAAGTGGAACAACTCGCCAAAACTTCGTCACAATAAGGCGAAGGGTATAGGAGTGCATAGAAAAAAATCACTCAAACATTAATTCTTATTTAAAAGAAACACCGATTTTAAAGATTGACAACGCCTAAGTGGACGTAAACGTACTTACGGTGTTCCTTCAGGAGAATCACCCGCTCGCTTGTCAACGTAAAAAAGTGTTTTCAGAGTTTATTGTTAAAATTTTTAAGTGTAAGTGGGACCACGCAAAATTCTACATGAAAGTGGGACTCTGAAATTATCTTTCATTTAATTAGATAAGAAAGAAATTAAATCGAGGTAACTCTATAACAAGTTTATTAGAATTTCATAATTTGGAATAAAATTGCTTTATTTACATCTGCATTACCAATACTTGGGCTGTAAGTTTTACACGTCTCCTATATTAGAAAGGATATCTCCTCTGAGTGTCCAGCCGGTACAATCCGGATCTGAAATATAATGAATTTGTGTAAGTTAGTTCCTATTCTATGTAAAATTTACTATCCGATAATGCAAAATGGGAAAAACTGTCTTGTTTACGTTTGTAATACTAAAGCGGTTACTCACCCAGTCTTTGTTAATATATCATTGCCCATGTTCAATCTGCTGCCTCTGCAATTGTTCATTGTGATTTGCAATGTGCTTGTACATTGCTGGCCGACCAAGTGATTGTGTGTGACTGTTGCAGCGAAGAGTTCCCAAGCGCGGTTGTGGTTGCACAAGCTCGCCAAACAACCGGGTTGGGAGTTACCACCGTTGGGGAAGAAGTCAGCGTTGGCGACTGCCGAACCGATGCCTAGTCCGGAGGCTCCGCCATCAGTGTGGATAGCTTCGACGTAAACGCCGTCAGTAGGACGCAAACGGTTGGTGTTATAGTTCCATAGAGGGCCAGCGGGGTCCAAGCCTGTTATATTAAAATAGGTAAGAGTCAGCCTTGTCACATAGCATTGCATAAAATTGTACGCAAATAATATTAAACTCTGGGATGGCAGATAATTTGCATCAACAGTAAATATATAATACTAGCGACCCGCCCCTAACGGTGAATTATTGAAATTATCGGCTTTTCTTTACTACAATATACATGTATACTTCATATAAACATTTCGCTTAAACCGCATTACAATTCGTTGCCTAGTTTAAAAGATCTAAGCGTACAAACATCGGGAGGGACTTTGTTTTATACTACGTACTGATTTACTGTATTACAAAATAGTTCATGGATCCACATACACGTGAAATTTGTTCTATATAAGTGACAGTTTGGGATAAAACGAAACTAGAACGCCTGTGTATTTGAGGAAAAAAAATCAAAGTAGTTGGACATTTAATGGAAATCACATAATTATTTGATACAAAACATAAAGACGAAAAAGATGACATAAGTTAGTGATAAGTGTGGAAAATGGAAATCTTTCATCATTGCTTATCCTTTTGCACGCTATTTGTATGTGTTTTTATATATAATTAATTATATATAGTATAGTTAAGTTTAAAATTCACACTTACCAGTGACACGGGCTGCCCTTCCACCGAGTTCCCTACCAGCGTTACCCACCAGATGAGCTCCCAAACTAAAGCCGACCAAATGCATTGTATTGAAAGGTGCGTTAGTTACTCTATTTAGGAATGTCAAAAACTGCCCCAGGCCTCGGCCAACAGCAGGCACTCCTCTTGCGGCAGTTGCGTAGTCAGAGGCGGCGAGTCTCCTCCAGTCTAATACGATCACGTTAGTATCGCTTTTACCCAAATAGGCTGAAAGATGGGACATAATTCTTATATGTGATATGTAATTCCTTTCGTATATGTGATAAAAAGAGAATTAAATGATTATAAAAAGACCTCACCTAATAGCTTTACTTGTATTAATTTGCTTATCTTAGAGTAGGTTAAAAAGGCAAATTGAATATAATTTAAAAAACTAAAAAAACCCGACTGCGTTTCTGTATAACTTTTTATTTTGGTATACTCAGTGTCACTCTCACAGTAAATACGGAACTAATGACACTGCTCAAGCTTAAATCCGTCAAGCCGTTCAGGCTGCAGAGCGTGCCAAACAATTATACATACATACATACTCTAGAAAAACATTACCCTCCTTCTGGCGCAATCGGGTAAACATTACGAATTTATTTTCATTAAATAACAAAGATTTTTTTGTTTAAGTTTCTACACCGTCGTGTTATCAATATTATTATATATCGTTATTTCAATCAAGTGCAAGGAATTCGTTTATTCAGTGGAAGCGATAAAGCAGTTGTGCATGGCCTTCCAACTTGTATAAATAATTAATAAACAGGCCGGCTTCTTCCGCCTGTGAATTGAGTATTAAAAGAATTCATGAATAACGAATTGCAATTTTACAATAATTCGATACTGGCTGAATTTCCTTGTAAGTGCAATTCGCGACTTACTTTAATTATCGACATAAAAAATTCGTGCTACAGTCGATACGTGCTATAGATTAATAAATAGAGCAATACTGAGGCTGAGGGTGTAAAAAAATACAGTATAACCCGTTGTATAACCTCAATCCTTTAAAAATCTATGTTTTCTACTTCGTCAAAAGTTTGTAAATAACTAAACGTAAATACATACCATCACGGATGGCCGGATTCAAGTTAGTGTTTTGATTGCTTAACCATCCATGGGCGATAACAACTGTAGGGTTGCGTGCGTTAAAGTTAGAGGACGTGACAGAGTTCGCGTTGTTTATGGTAAGAGTCTGCGCTCTTCTCGGGTTGCGCCTAAAATATATCTTTATTATAGGTACGTTTGAAATAGGCTAGACAACCCTATACCCACACATAGTGCTAATGCACTCAACCAATAAGTTCGTCCTCACCTATGAGCACGGCAAAATCAATACTGATTTAATAAATAATATACGTACACAAAGTACACCCACGTATAAGATAACGCGGGCGTGAGAACAAACGCGGCGCTATTCAATACGGGGAGCCGTATCAAGCTCGCAAAATACTTAAGTCTATTAATGACTGAGAATAACTAACCATCTTTTTTGTTTCTTATCTACCCACCACGATGAACGTTCTATTAAGACCAAAATTAGGAATAATATTTCGTAATACACATGATTTCAAGAAATATCGCCTCCAACTGATAATATTCAACGTATGCATGTTATTTTTTATGTTAGAATATGGTAAACAACCAAGCGGTTCATCTGTTGCTTAGGGATTGTTAGCAACCTGCCACCTGGATCTCCGCTATACCAAAATAATTCTAATATCTAGGAGAGTGGACACGCTTTTACCCTTTCTTTGCGTCCGTTATACTTTCTCAATTGAGCCAGTCAATTTACGCCACAACAGAATTTGCTGCATAGTTCTACCTCAAATAATAAGCGAGTAGACTTTTCATTGTAAGTCATTGGTCATCATAGCCAAATATGTCATGTTATTATTACGTTTTACAGTAAACTTACCTAGTATAGAGAAGATATTGATTGTTGGAAGGATTCCTGTTAATTTCGTCGAGAAGCTCCATGTCAGGCTCTGCCTCTAGGTCAACCGTATGCATGACACCATCGCCATCAGGGAATTCAATAAAACGCGGGTAATCTTTCTCAATTCCTTGCAGCGGCACTGCTGATGCTGAGTAAACTAAAATAAAAGTGCTTTGCTTTTTATGTTTTTTTTAACATTGCCCTTACTGTAGGATAACATTATCCTGTGTTGTAAGGACGTTTTACAAACTTAAATTTCACGTGGACAAACAACCAGATCCGAAACAACTATCTGTGGATCGCAACAAATCGTTGTCCAGTGTGGGAATCGAACCCACCAACTACGCTACGAAGTAGTCGAAAAGTGGTTAATTCGGTTTCATACCTCAAAAAAGGAAAAATGGGTTCGTTACGTTTTCCGTGTCTCTGTATTTCTGTCTATCATGAAAGAAACTTTTTGTTACATAACGTCCGGAATATGTTCTATTAGTACAGTATTTTAAGACGAGTTCAAGAAAATCCGTACGATGTATTCTTCATTTAGTATATACCTGTAACATGCTTAGATGTCGCTTTTGAGTTTTCACTAAGCGTCACTAATACCGAAAAACCGTCAATAAAAATGGATTTTTGCCAATGAAAGGCGTGAACGAGGAGTAAGAACTGTTATGTATGGGTTTCCAGTCACTGTGCCGTTTTTGTTAAATACTAACTACGAATTTATTGCTGTCCGAAACTTCACAAAGCCTACACCATAAGGTTGATAGGTCTAAATTTTGTTCACGTATGCTTTATCTTGACTTTATCGGATAACAATACCCTATCCCAGTCTTCTTCAAGTCGTGACACGCATTTTCCAGCGAAGGCTGTCACGTCGATGTTCAGAGTATGCCACAGCCAGGTGATGGCTACAGGTAGGGAAAAGTCTCCTTTTGACCGTCTATATGCTGATTTCCACATTTCTTACTTTTTATCTTAGAAGTTATTCTTGATCTTAACCTTCAAATACGCAAAACTTGCCGTTTTTTGACTCTTATCTTACCAGGAAACGATCGTTCAGGATATGACTTTTTTTGAGAACCGGACCTTGTATCGAAGGACTAGATCATTGACATATGCCACATTCTTTCCACTGTCGAATGACTCACGAATAGCTCGTGAACCAAAATCGTGTAATTTTCCTCAAAAACACTTCGGCACAACATAATTTGGTTGATTTTAGTCCGTTTTGTATTCAATTTGTTAAAACGAATTTTTAGAAGGAAAAAATCGCCTTTAAATAAAGTGGGGCCCGGTTACCTCACCCACCCGACGAAACGTAAAAGTATAACGCTTCTACTTCACGCTGGTTATCTATGAGGTCGAGGTACTTTCCCGGATGGACCTACCTGTTAGTGGCTCTACCACAGAAAGAAAATATTTAGTTTTACAATAATATTTCGCATAATTTTACCTAAACCTATGAAAGAATAATTCCGGTATTTTCTTACAAATAATTTCACTTCACGTTATATGTTTTCATAAACAATAATAAAAAAATTTCAAAGGCAAATTATCAAAAATAGTATAAACTTTCGCACACACACATACGTACCAGCCACAGCCAGTCCGAGTAGCAAGATAACCTTCATTTTGAGAAGTTCAATTGAAATGTACAAACAATTTTCGCGATTTCAATATATATATATGTTTGGGTTTTAAATTGATAAGATTTAATCTCATGGCTTTATCAAAATCTCTTAAGTTATAATTACTCCTACGGCGATAACAGAAATCAATTCCCACTATTTCATACATTATCACATTATTCAATTTTATTTTAAAGCTAATTTTATTTTGAGATAATTCGTGATTTTTTAGTTCTTATTTTTTTATATTTTGGTTTCGTTTATTTTCGTTTCGGTAAGCCCTGGAGGCGTTGAAAATGGATGTGTTGGTTTTTATAAGATAACGGTGACAACGCAATATTCTCCTTCAGCACCACATTTCAAAGGCGTCTTTGTTCTTCTTTCCACGTAGATCGCACAGGACGAGGATAAAAAAAAGTATCAGCCTATACATGTCCCACTGGGCAAAGGCCTCCTCTGTACTGAGGGTATCAAGTCATAATCCACCACGCGGCCCCACTGCGGATTGGCGGACTTCACATATCTTCGAAATATTTTTTTATGTTATTATTTCGAAAACATGCGAGTTTCCTCACGCTGTTTTCCTTCACCGCTGAGCACGTGATAATACAGCACTTAAAATTTCATTGGTGCTGGCACCGGGGATCGAACTCAGGTTGCTCGAGTATATTAAATTAAAGGCGAGCACCCGGACATTGAGCTATCACGGCTCTTAGGACGAGGATGCGGACGAGCAAAACAGACAAATATGTATCATTGGAGACGTTTCTATGCTGTCAGATTTTTGTGTGCTTGCTTACTGCACCTCTAACCATTTCAATTCGTCGCCGAATCTCCTAGTCACACGCTTCGTTCACGCTAAGCCAAGGCCTAAGCTAGACAAAGTCCCCCAAGATCTTCAGATAAGGCTAATCCGGTATGCTAAAGTTAGCCTGCTGAATTTGACCTTTTCCTTATTGATTGAGAGCCCTACCAACTCACTCTCACTCTCCACTCTTCTAGATAATCTTCCGCTATCTCCGTTACCTCGGACTTCACACCTGCGACCTCCTATTGTATACGAAAATTTACAAGCCCGGATGCGGTAGTGAATATGTGTCACAAAACCATTAAGTCGTAATAAAAACCCGCTGTTTTATCCAATGTTTCTACCGCAATCGAAAATGTGTGAAAAATGAGGAAATATATAATAATATATCATGAAGAAAAATGAATAAAACGTACATTTAATTTCTGGTATTCTTTACCCTAATTCAGAAACTTTCAGTATAAACTAAAGATATGTATGTGACAGTAAATTTACTGTCGTAAAGGCGCTAAAGCACCCAAGTAAGGATTTGATTGTTCCAAGCTACTAAAAACATTAAAATATAGAAAGTGGTGGCACGGTGCCAGTACCATCAAGTAATGGCGTAATTACGTATATTCACTTGTTCTTTATGTCAACAATTGTCAAAGGGGCAACACCTGGACGCCTACAGCACACGCGGGCGTGAAGAGCATTGACATCTTTAAAAAAAACGGCTAAGTGCGAGTAGGATTCGCGCACGAAGGTGCCATTATCAATAAAAACGGTAAAAAAATATCATGTCTGTTGTGTGGGAGCTCTTAATAATAGGGTCCCGTTTTACCCTTTGGGTACGGAACCCTAAGAGGTGGCTGCCGATTACCTTATTCACCAGACGAAACGCGAAAGAATAATAGTTACTACTTCACGCTGGTCTTGTGAGGCCATGGTACTTCCCCGGACAATCTTGCCCATTCTTCTGCAGAACCTTTTTCGTGGTCCTACTACAGTAGAAGCAGTGTAGCGTGATTACAGTGTAGCGAACAATTTCACTAATACTCCTCCACCTATTACTCGAAAAAATGAAATCAAAAGAAAATACAATTACCAATAATGTAAAGGTTTATATGTTGTATTTTTTATTCAATTTTTCTAATTTACTTCCTTTTCCCTAATAAATAATATAGGTTTGCTTATTGCCAAACACATATAACACAATATATACACTACAGTGTTTAATTTATCACGGTTTTTAACATAGACTTTTTATATTTTTGATTATTATATTGATGGCATGATAACTAAATATTCCAATTTTTTTTATGTCATTCACCCGAACAAAAATCAATGTTGTTAAGTATTTTTTCAAACGATTAAGTAATTTTTATTTAGTTCTTGTGGTTTACATTTAAGCAAAATCACGTAATTTTTATTATACCATTTCAAATCAAGTGATTGGTTAGATGGACCTCATTATAAAAAGATTGTACGTTTTTTAATCTGAAATCACTGTTAATTTATTGCGTACATTATACTTTAGATTCAGTTTATTATAAAACCTGTTATGAGTAATAATAAACAATCAGCAGGAACAGATTTATCGGACAAAAATTATCGTTGATACGATTAAAATTTCCATTATTTTTATCATTTTAATAACATACAGTTGCTTGTAGTCATGTCCTAGCAGTGGCAATATCAAATGATAATTTTTAACAAGTTTTATATCATTGCGATTATTTTTTCCGACATACGTAAAGACATTTAATTTTTAAAAAATTCATAAAGTATTAAAATTTGTAGAAAAAATGACCGAAAAATTGACGCTGCTCCGTGAATCGAAACCACTTCTTCCGCCCAGACACTTTAACCACTAAACTAAACGGCTAATCGCCATACTGGCGAAAATTTCAACGTATATTATACATACACAATACATGTGGGTCCTTTACAGAAAATAAACAATTTCAAACATCGTTTTTCCACCAAAATTTGAAAGAGAGATATCACTATATTTGAAATTATACAGTGTGTCTTTACAATCGCGAGAATAAATGAACACACGTCTAATTCTACTTGCCAATAATCATAAAATATATTAACGTTAAAAAAATCCATAACTAAAAAAAATATTTTTCAAACAAACTAATTAAGTAAAAAAGAAACAAAATTTGTAACATCCTATACAACTAAAACTTACTGATTCATACATTCAGAGACTTTTTCATTCGTTGCCACAGCGTCGCATTACAAGCCTCTCCTACTAACAGTATGTTTTGTCTCTTTCAAATTTATTCAACCCATTCATATGCTTTGTGACCTTTACAAATGAACTTTACGTTACAGTTTTATACGTAAGGGTGTTCTAAAATTCGTTGTTTTGGAAAATTTAATAACTCGGTAAAGATTGATATTTAAATAATGTAAATGTTTAATACAATTTTAAAAATTTATCCTCTCTATGTGTGTTCATTTATTGTCACGATTGTAAAAACACGCTGTATATTTGTCGCTATGTTTGAAATTTTTTAATTCGAAGTATTTCAAATTAAAATTATAGTGCTTATTTGCACTTATCACGTTTTTAGAAAAAATGGGGAAGAGGAAACCTATAAAAAGCATAACAAAAGATGCGCCAAGCACTGCTTAAAATGGGGCAAAAACAGTGTAGATAAAATACGTAGATATACAAATGTAAGAAAATTATGTACTAAAAATAATAAAAAATATGTAATATTTTTTTAGGTGTTCTAAATTCATGAAACTATTTTAGACATTATTTTCCACGTTTACAAGCCCCTGAAGTATCTTTAAGCTTTACTTAAAGATATGAGACTATGTAAGTTACACATGACCTTTTCAACAACAGTGTTTTCCGCCATTCTTCTGACCAAAAATCAAATTTTTTCTTTGTATTCCGATCTTGTATCTTGGATTAACTGATTTTAACGTTTTCAGTTCCGAGACTATTAACGCTTCATCGAACGCAGAACCGGTGGGCTAGGCAGAACCCACGGGTTTGAGGCCCTCCACAGTAGGACCGGTAGGGCCGCCCATGTGCTTATGCGTCCGTTAGGTACGGAGTGTCGCCTACGGGCTATCGAGGTTCGGTGCGGACCGTGATACCGATAGCCGTTGACTGTGCTTGATTAGTCGGTGGCTGGGGGCGATGAGAACCGCCCTGAAACGCGGGTGTATCTGTTGTACGTGTTGTGTTGGTTTCGCCGTGCTCGAAGGCGAGGACGAACTATGGTGTTTGTTGATGCACTAACTGAGTGTGTAGTGTTATTTGGCACGACCCCCGACGATGTGTCCGACGTACTTAAGTCCCCTTCCTCGACTGAGTCGATGAGGACGTTGTGCGGGCGACGCTTGTTGACGTTGGGGTTAGTGTCGGGTGGGTAATTTGCTGCGCTTACCACCAGAGGGTTGGGATAATGTTCGGCTCTATCGAAGAACCGTTTGGTTAGGTCTTTGAAATGTTTGCGAATCGTCAGGAGCCTGCAGTCACTGTGCAGGTCGACGTTGCGTTGATACCACTGCGCACCAGTTACGCGGCGGATGAAGTTGTTTTGAACGATTTGCAACTTGTGCAAGCGATTAGGGTTCGTGTTCGAAGGTCATGCAAGAATAATTTGTGCCTAAGGTTTTTATAAAGGTCTTTATAAAGGTATGACGGGTAAGTACTTCGTGTGAAGTGAATCGCCACACTTTTGTCGGTGTTTACTTCTAGTTTCCATTTGCGGAACCAATCACCGAGGCGGGCAACAGCGCTTTGGAGGCGATTAGTAAGTTTGGTTGAGATTCCTATCTGTGTAAAAGAGCGCGCGGGTTATCCGCAAAAAGCGCGAGATTGACTTGTGGGTCTATAGGTATGTCGCTCGGGTAGAGCGTAAAAAGCAAGGGCGAGAGGTAGGAGCAGCCGTAAGGCGGCGGTTTTTAGAGAGGTTGCCTCAACTCAATATCGAAAGGAGCGATTCGATAGGCAGGCCCGAATGGTGTGCATGAACCTATCTGCCGTTGCCTACGTTGAGTACGAACTGCTTGTAAAGCAAGCCGTTGTGCCAGACCTTGTCGAATGCTTTTAAGACATCGAAGAAAAGAGCTCCCGTGCTTAAATTTTTAAGGTGATTGAGGCCTTTCAGAATATATTCCGTTAGGAGGTATAATTGGTCGCGACAGGAGCGTCCAACTCGAAAGCCGAATTGTTCAACTG